TCCTATTGTTACTACTTGAGTCAAAAATATTTCTTTCCGCACAAATCTTATTCCTATTAAAAGATATTACTTTTAAGTACTCTATTCTTATTTTCTTTATTTTAAAATTACTTTAACTATTAAAAAATGTACCCTTTATATTGATAATATATGTTGTATATATAAGATCATAGTAAATCAACCATTAATTTTTATTTTGATATTTATAATAAAATAAGAAATATTTTTAGTGTTATTTTTTTTTTTCAATTGAAGTAGGATAAACATTTGCTAATAAAAAAAATATCATTAGGAAAAGAATGTGTTCAAAAAGAAAATAAATAATATATTTATGCATAAATAAATATTTTTGACTCAAGTAGTAACAATAGGAACATTTTATTTGAAAAATGACAATTTTGACTTATTGAGTAACAATAAATGCATTTTAGACCATTTTGTCGTTTATTTTTTATATTTACAGAAAAATGGGGCATTTATGATAAATTTTACAAGAAGATGAGTGAAACCTAAATCATTCATTGAATTAAGGGAAAATAGGCAAATATACTGCTCAACTTTGTGATTTTGGCAAATATACCTCTTGTTAATAAAAATGATGCATATATACCTCTACCGTCTAATATATGGTGCATAATTTTCTTTTTCGTTAATAAATTTATATTTATTTAATTAAAAAATATATAATTGTGATTTTTTAATTTCAAAAATGTCATGTGTCTTTCAAAAACTATCTCACACTTTTTTTACCCTTCTAGACCCAGCCCAAATGGAAAAAAAAATACTACGTAATGTATTTGACATACTAAAATACTTTTTTTAAATATGAAACGAGATCATATACATTTTTTTTTTATATATATATTTGGGTTTTTAAAAATATATAAATAAATGTGTGTAAGCACTTTTTGGCTTCTCCACTCAATAGCTCCAACTGTATCTGCAACAAAGTTTGATACTTCAAAGCTCGCAGGTTTCTTGTCCCAACCTAGAAGTGCTAGATATTTATGGGCCTAACAACATAAGTGCTCTATGCTCTCACCAACTTCCAACAACCTACTTCACCAAACTTCAAACATTGAAAGTATCAGATTGTGGAAAATTGAGAAACTTGATGTCTCCATCAGTGGCCAAAGGTCTTCTGAATCTCCAAGAGTTATGTCTCCATCAGTGGCCAGAGGTCTTTTGAATCTCCAAACATTAAATATAAGAGACTGCCAATCAATGGAAGAAGCGATCACAGAAGAGGAAGAACAAGGAGAAGGAATCATGATCTTATTTTCCCGTTTGAAATACCTGAGTCTCGCCCATCTGCCTAAGCTGGGGCATTTCTTTCTGACAAACCATGCCCTTGAATTTCCATTTCTAAGAAATGTGGAAATTGGTGACTGCCCTGAAATGAAGACGTTTGTTCAACAGGGAATATCTGTGAGTACACCGATTCTCAAATGTGATGATGAGGTGAAAGTAGATGATCTAAATAAATGGATACAAGAGAGGTCAAATCCTCTTTTTGATGAAAAGGTTTGCTTATTATCACCAAAATGTTACCTTTTACTTGAGCATTAAAGATGTTTACTTAAACAAAGTCTATTGCTTAGATATATCCTTTTTGTCTAACAAGTGAAAAAATAATTTTAAATTAACATTTGCTAATAAAAAAATATCATTTGGAAAAGAATGTGTTTAAAAAATGATACTATATTTATTTGAAAAATGACAATTTTGACTTATTGAGTAACAATAAATGCATTTTAGACCATTTTGTCGTTTATTTTTTATATTTACAGAAAAATGGGGCATTTATGATAAATTTTACTAGCAGATGAGTGAAACTCAAATTATTCATTGAATTAGGGGAAATGGGCAATATACTACTCAACTTTTGCGATTTTGAGCAAAATATACCTCTTGTTAATAAAATTGATGTATATATACCTCTACCGTCTAATTTATGGTGCATAATTATCATTTTCGTTTAATAAATTTATATTTATTTAATTAAAAAATATATAACAGTGATTTTTTAATTTCAAAAATGTCATGGCTATGAAAAATTATCTCACCCCTTTTTTACCCCTCTAGACCCAGCCCGAATGGAAAAAAAACACAAATGTATTTGAGATACTAAAAAACTTTTTTAAGTTATGAAACAAGATCATATACAATTTTTTATATATATATTTGGCTTTTTAAAAATATATAAATAAATGTGTGTAAGCACTTTTGGCTTCTCCACTCAATAGCTCCAACTGTATCTGCAACAAAGTTTGATACTTCAAAGCTCGCAGGTTCCTTGTCCCAACCTGAAAGAGCTATTCATCTACGGGCCTAACAGCATAAGTGCTCTATGCTCTCACCAACTTCCAACTGACTACTTCACCAAACTTCAAACATTGTTTGTATCACATTGTGGAAAATTGAAAAACTTGATGTCTCCATCAGTGGCCAGAGGTCTTTTGAATCTCCAAACATTAAATATAAGAGACTGCCAATCAATGGAAGAAGCGATCACAGAAGAGGAAGAACAAGGAGAAGGAATCATGATCTTATTTTCCCGTTTGAAATACCTGAGTCTCGCCCATCTGCCTAAGCTGGGGCATTTCTTTCTGACAAACCATGCCCTTGAATTTCCATTTCTAAGATATGTGGAAATTGAAGACTGCCCTGAAATGAAGACGTTTGTTCAACAGGGAATATCTGTGAGTACACCGATTCTCATATGTCGTGATGAGGTGAAAGTGATGATCTCAATAAATGGATACAGCAGGAGTTCAATAACAAGGTATGTCTTATTCCGCTAGCTATACAAGTAATTGCTACATGATATTCTAATTAGGCTCTACTGCTCTCTTTCCGTTTTAGATACTTATTTAAGTTCATCAACTTTCTTTACTTAATAAGCTACTCATCTCTCTCTTCTTTAGCATTCTCTGTTTCTGCAGGAACAAGAAGCTAGTGATGACGACGAAGCTGAACCTAGTCATGCCAGAAGTTAATTAACAAGCAGAGGCGGATCAACATTATTGTAACCTATCGGCTATAGATCTTGTATATGTATTAGTAATATCTAAAAAAT